CCTATATATATATATATTTTGGGAAATCTGGGAAAATGTTTATAAGTATCTGATCCAGATGGGCCATAGGTATTCTTTCTTTCTACTACTTTTTTCTTTCTTTCTACTTTTCAGTAAATTCAAATTTTCACATAAAAAGTTAAGAAGTCAATAGATAATTTCTATACCAACAACAGATTATTGTATGTCCAGTGATCACTCGTGCTGTTTCTTTTTATCTCACTTTAGTCTCAAAATTCTGTGCACCGAAAGAGATATTATTCTATTTTACATCAGGAAAATACTGAGTGGCAGACAAAGATTGCATGGGAACCTGGTTAGTCGTGAGCTGACGAGAAGGAATGAAGAAGTCAGGATGCATGAAATAGAAAAACCAGGAAACTTGGGTTCAAGTCCCAAACCCTGGCACTTAAATCATTTGATCTGAGTTTCAGTTTCGACATATGTAAAAAAAAAAAGAAGGATGAGAACACATACCATAAACATATCACAAGTTTTGTCGAGAAGCAGTGAAGTAATATACCTGATTACAACTTTGAAAAATGTAGAGTATGTGTAAATCACATCATTTTATGAGATAATGCATTAACTGATTAATATGTTGGAATATTGATATTCTCCCTCAAGTAAAAAAAATACTTCTCAACCCATTTCTGAACGCAGGGTCCCCCACCCCCACAATGAGACCTTCCACTGAGCTTAAATAATGCCTAGCATACCACTTTAGGGATGAAAGAATGAATGAACACACAAAAGTGCATACCTCCAGTTTGTAGATACTCCTACTATCTCCCGCAACTTATCTCGAACTGAAACAAAAATAAAGAGGTCATTCCATGAAACGAGAAATATGAGAACTGGATTATGGCAACAAGCTCAAGAACTCTGAAAAGCAATTCATGCACTCAAAAGCTTTAAAGAGAAAAAATGGCGTAGATGACAGAGGCTTTGTTCATCCTGCATCAAAGTTGTGACAGAAACACGGAGCAAATAGCAAGCAAAATCACCAGAGATCTAGATGAACAGAACTACTACAACTAGGGAGAGAAATAAGAAATCACCCTGCAATGGTAGGAGGGGGTGAAGACACAAAGCTGTCCAATCCTAAGCAGCTGAGTGGGACAAAGGCAGATGCCTCTTAAAGGGGCTACGTCCCGAATGGACTTTTGCATTGACAGATTTCCTCACTCTGAGCACTAGTGCCGGGTCAGCTGCTGGAGGGGGGCGGGGCACCAGGGACTTACGGGGGGACACCAAGTTGTTGGAGTGAGGGCCGAGGTGAGACTTGCTCTGTACAGAAGTGCCGTGGTATGCACTGTTCCTCTGTTGAGCCCGCCCCCCTCCCAGTGCACGAACTCAGCACCACCATAGCTAAGACATCATCCAACTGAATAACAAAGGTCGCTCCACACAGAGGATTCCCTGAAACTCCACCTCCCCCAACTCGCAGCCCCACCCAAGCCATATCCAGTTGTGTCCTCAGCCAGTCCAGTGCTCTTTGCTGAGCCAACTCCAAGACCCGCACTGGTGGCAGCTGACCATAGTTTCTGCCGTGGCCTCTTGAGGCAACCATAAGCACAATCTGTGGATTGTTTGCTGAATCTTAACAGGTGGCCCCGGAGGGGCACAGGCTGAGGTGAAATTTGGCCTGCAGCTGAACCCCATTCAGGACTGTGCCATGGGACACCTACTACACAAAGCCACGCTAATAAGACCGAGAGATTTAGGAGCTTTGCTTAGGACATAGAAACAGACACAGAAAGGCAGTCGAAATGGGAAGACAAAGAAACAGAAACCATATGAGAAAACAGAACAGATCCAGGAATAATGGAGTCAAGCAATCTAACAGATGCAGAGTTCAAAACTGGTTATAAAGATGCTCAATGAACTTATAAGAAGTGTAGATGAATTCAGTGAGAACTTCAACAAAGAGATAAAAAACATAAAAATGGAAACGGAAATTATAAAAAAGAATCAGTCAGAAATGAAGAACACATTATCTGAGATGAAGAGTATATTAGAAAGAATCAACAGAGGGAATAAAGAAGAGGATAGAACCACCTATATAGAGGATGGGGAAGCCAAGGACACTTAATCAGAATGGGAAGAAAAAAGAAGCCAAGACTATAATAATAGTTTAAGGAGACCATGGGACACTATTAAATGTAAAAATATCCATGTCATTGGGATACCCGAGGGAAAACAAGATGTGAACAGCTATTTGAAGAAATAATGGAAAACTGAGGCGTGCGCCAATGCACATTATAATTAAAATGCCAAAGATTAAGGACAAAGAGAGAATCTTAAAAGATTCTCTTGGTGAAAAAGGTTTTTCATCAAGAGAAAAGCAATTAGTTACCTACAAGGAAGCTCCCATTAGACTGTCAGCTGATTTCTCAGTAGCAACTTTGTAGGCCAGAACGGATGGGCACAAAATATTTAAAGCGCTGAAAAAAGCAAGAACCTACAACCAAGATTACTCTACTCAGCAAAGCTATCATTTAGAATCATAGGACAAATAAAGAGATTCCAGGGAAGAAAAAGCTAAAGAAATTCATCAACACCAAACCAGTATTACAGGAAATATTGGAGGGACCTCTCTAAGAAGAAAAAGCGTATCAAAACACGAAGAAAGAATGGTAATAACTATATTCCTATCAACAAGTACCTCAAGTGGAAAAGATTTAAGTGCTCCAATCAAAAGATAGAGTGGCTGAATGGATAAGAAAACAAGACCCCTACGTATGCTACCTATGAGAGACTCACTTCAGATTGAAAGACACACACAGACTAAAAGGAGATGGAAAAAGATATTGCCTTGATGGACCTAGAGAGTATTGTGCTGAATGCAGTAAATCAGATAAAGACAAATATCACATGATTTCACATATGTGTGGAATCTAATGAACAAAACAAATGACAAAAATGGAAATAAACATAGATACAAAGGATATTTTGAGGGCTACTAGATAGGAGAGGGGTTGGAGGGGACGGTGAAAAAGATCAAAGGGATTAAGAAGTCCAAATGGATAGGTACAAAATGGAGATATAAAGCGTAGCATAAGGAAAATAGTTAATAATGTAATAAGTATGTAAGGGGAAGACGGCACTAGATTTAGTGGGATGATCACTTTGTGAATTATACAGATCTCTAATCACTATGCTGCACAACTGAAACTAATATATTATTGAATGCCAACTATAATCGAAAAAAATTCATTGAATCGTACAATATAAATACGAGCGACTAAATGTCTATTATATTTCAATAAAGCCGAGAAAAAAAAAAGCTTTAAAGAACCATGAATTTCCATTTAATGTCACAAAAACAGCTCCAAGAAAGGATCAGAGGCCTCTGCTTCCTGAAAACCTGAAATAACCATTGTCTCCTTAATGAAGAAAAGAATATCCTGAAGCAAGCACTATATAAACAAACAAAAAAGGAATGGGGCTATAGCAGTGTCAGGAGGAGTCCCTTTATGATGCAAATCTGAGTATCATTCTAATTCATTTTTCATATATTAATATAGCCTAATTGTTAGAAAAGTTTAAGCCAGAAAAATGAAGCAAAGATATAAACCAAGGAATAGCAAAGAATGCGATTTAATTTTAGTTAATGCCCACCGCCCAAAAGCTGAAGAATTATTGCAAAAGAAAGAATTAAGCACTCCGTTGATACTAATTACCATACACACCATGGTTCACGTGTAGAGGTGAACATGCTATATGGATAAAGGGAAAATAAATTAGATAAGCAGTAGTAATCCAAATCTAAAAAATAAATCTATAGGATTTCAAATAATATGTTGAGTTCATATAGTTTTTTTCTAGCATTTTAAAATATGTATATTACATTTATAGGAAATTAACTACAACAATCCCTGGTCCTTCAATAACTAATAGATCAAAACCAAATATGGGTATATTGACATGCACTTTAACTTTCATGAAAAAAACAGTTGATTTTACTATCAAACAATTGTTATAGACCATAAATTTGGTGCAAACTCTAATTATAATTAAATCATAGAAAACTACAATAGCCATTAGTAAATTAGTCTTATTTGTTTTTCTTCCTCCTGAGTTCAGGAGGAAGGACAGAAAGTACACAGAACAGTACACGGCCTATTGATGCTCAAGGATGTCCATCCTGTGATGCTCACAGACATGAGATGAGTATTACTAATTTAAGTAGTCAATGTAAAAAAAAAAGGCTGGTGCCGAGGGCCAAGAAGAATTTTAAATTATATTTAAACACTTATATTTCCACCCTTTAAAGAAGCTACAATTAATGAATACTCCTAAAATGATAAAGACATTCATAGTTTACATATCAGATTAGTAATTGAAATTAACTTCAATTAAGCATGGATTAAACAGGGTCCTTCTAACAAAACTGTAGACCAGGAGTGCTTAGTGGGAACAACTGAAGGGCTCATCTCTTACTTATACAGCAACAGATTTCTTTTTCCCACGCACTCCCCTTCAGTACCTACACACAGGAAGTGGAAATCATTTTAAAAAGCTCGATCCTCAAGGCTCCCAGGAACTCTACCCACAGTTATCCAGGTCATTTTATAAATGAGTTTATAAAAGATCTATCTTTGGTATGCCTCATTTCCCCTAAACTATCTATCTATACACCAAACAAATAAAACAGGTTTTCCCACAACATGGACCTAAAAAGCAAACACCCATGCTTGCCTTCATGAATATGGAAGACTCTCTGCTTCTCGGGATTCTGGGATCCCTGAGTCAGCCCTCTGCCAGGAGTAAGCAGCTCCCTGTTCAAGGTAGAAAGCCTACAAAAAAGGAAAAAGACACTCTTATAGTAGGTTCCATGGCTTCTTCTCTGGCAAGCCCAAATGCCTGTGCTCCTCCCAGAGTACTTGGTGATCCCATATCCTTAGCATAAAGTCATGTGCCACATAACGTTTCGGTCAACAACAGACTGCATATACAACAGTGGTACACCATATAGCTTAAGAGTATAGTAGGTTATACCGTCTAGGTTTGTGTAAATATGTTCGCAACAACAAAATCGCCTAACGGTGCGTTTCTCAGAACTATCCCTGTCGTTAAGCGGCACATGACTGTATTGTATATTGTCTTGTAGTGGTCTGTACTTGTTTCTCAAGTATATGCATATTTGCATATGAGGCTACACTATAAATCATCTAACTAGAGTAAACATTTAAGAGCAGACACCAATTAGGTAACTATCTACAAAATAAATAATCAACCAGATTTAATAGATTTATTCTTGCTCTTTCTAGTTTATTAGCTTCAGAAGCCCAGAATCGATTTGGTAAACAGCTGAGTATATTAATTATGAACATTTATTTTGTTCTTTACTATCACACTATATCTCCTCAATGAATAAGCTAACCCCAATTATAAACTAATCAACTTAGAAAAGAGAAATAACCCTTCCCAGACTCAAAGTATTTATTGGACTTAGGCAGAAATTTCCTAATCCCCAATGAAATAAAACCTATTTATCCAAATGTGCCTAACCTATTCTGCCAAAATAAGTTATTTATGTGGGTTTTGATTCACTGTTGCTTTGTTTACTCCTAACCACACACTATAATATCAGGGATAACAAACACACATATAATATCAGGGATGGACAAATTGATCAGCTGAGAGCACAACTGAAGGCAAGGCATTGAAGAGGTCATGAACCCTAAATACTGTTACTCATTCCAGCTCAAGTCACTAGTAAATTCTTATTACCTGATGCCAGAACAAGTGATGACTACCTCCTAAAAACGTATATTTTGAATCTTCTTTAGAACCAGATGTTACTATAGATTTCTCTTCTGAATTATAGCATTCAGAGAAAGTCTCTCAGTAAAAATATTTGGTAAGATCTACATGTAGTCTTGACACCTGTGCTGCTAGAACAAACCCTTGTCTTTTCACTAAATCAACTAATCTAACTGTAAAGAACACATAAATATGAGCACATGCTCAATGGCCAATTTAACTCCTTAGCCATCCAGTCATCACACTGGCTGTGAAACAATCCCTGCTGGTCGACTACAACCAGAATGCTTACTGGAGTGTCTGGGGTTTGGGTTTTGTGTTTCTTCTTCAAACACATAGCTAACAAACCTCTATCTTTTTAGATCTATTTTTTCATTATAAATTTTCTATTTTTGTACTTTTATATGTATGTTAATGTTTCAGTCTTCTTGCTCTTGACCTTCTAATTTGTATTTTTTCAGAACAGGATCTGAATTTTCTTTTTTTCTCATTACTTCATGCTACATATTTCCTGTAGGTTCAAATCCCTTACTGAAAGAAACAGGGTATGTAGTTCTTCATTCTTCCATCTCAAATCCTAGTATTCTGCAACTGAACATAGAAAGTTTTAAAAAGGGCACTGGAAAAAGCTAATATTTTCCATTGCTACTACTAGCTGAAAGAGAAAAAAAAAAACCATGCCCTCGACATATTAACAATTATAATAGATGCAGTAGGTGCTCCCAGTATAAGAAATGAGATCTGATTCTGAGTGATTAAATATTTTAAATACTCATTACAAACTAACAGGAGTTATATAAATGACCTCACATATTTGGATAAATATGTATATATATGCAAGGATTTTTGTTTTGTTACCCTAAGGAGCAGCATTTTCTGAAGAATGAGGAAAACCATCCCATCCTGCCTGAGAGGCCATATTGTGCAGCTGTTAAGATCCTGACCATGTTGTCGGTTAGCTGAGTGATCTTGGGCAAGTTATCTAACCTCTCTAAGCTTAAGTTTCCACATCTGTAAAATGGGGATAATAATCGTACCTATCCTATAGGACTGTCATAAGGATAAAGACGTTAACGAATGTTAAACCCTTAGGTGTGTACCTAGTACACTAACAAGTTCTCAAAAAACATTAACACTATGATGGCACATCTCTGAATGGAGACTCAACTAGAGACGGTAAAGTTACCATCAGGGCTATCTGAACTCCGGCGCTGCCTCGGTAACACTGGAGATTCTTGGTTATTTTTGCTGACGCAGAGACAATTCCAGCACAGTTAGAGTTATGAAATGTAATATTTATTAAAAGTATATTTTAGTAGGACAGGCCACGCTAAGGAAGCCTGTAGCCCCGTGTAATTTGGGAGATGAAAAGATAAAAGACAGAGTACACTCCGAAGAAGGAGCAGGTTTTCAGCAAAGAGGGCTGTAACAATGCAGAAGTGGGAAAGTCTGTATTATATTAGGACTGCCATGGGTGGTTACAAAGGCATTCCTAGGTGACTGGCGCGTGAGGTCATTTTGATTGACATTTGGCTGCTATATAACTCCCTGCCCACTGCACATGTGCTTACCCAGAATTCAATCTGTTATAATTAGATTCATGAACTTCCAGGCATAGTCATATTATGATGGTATAATAAGGCTGAGGTTTGGGGCAGGTTAGGGTCGTACTTTTTACACAAGCCCGTTTGTGGCTTGTTAGGCCAGTAGCTTTCATGGCCCTAAGATTTGGGTTAATTTATAACCCTAAAAGGGGCAGTGTTTCTGGGAGGTCCTTAAGGAAGGTCTTCAAGGAAGGTTTCTATGGTTACATAACTGGGCCTTCACTCCTGTTCCTCATGTCTGTCTAACTACCTAACAGTAAAGAAGAGAGTTGATGAATATAGAGTAATACTTGGGCCAAATTACATAGAAAATTGTGGTCCTGCAGCCCTGTTCTTTGCACACTACCTTAAGAAATAGGGAAATATATCCCTGTAAACAATAAAGGCATAATTTGAATGCTTTTTTAAAAACTGTTGACTGTACTAACCATGTATTGGTATAATAATTTTTTATTATCTTGTGAACATTCAGCTTATGGTAATTTTTCACTACAATTTGGTATCCTAACTACTGGTAATCTGATAAAAACTGTGGGCCCTCATTCGATGGGGCAGGGTTCATTTTACTGACACACAAAATGGTATATACTATTCCAGAAGATCCATAGACCACCCCCTTTTGACACCCCCACAGGCCCCTATATTTAAAAGATTTGGGTTCAGATCAACCTCCTGAAGAAACAGAGGCCCAAAGAAATTAGATGACTTTTCTCCAGTGTCAGTAAACTAAACTGAGCCCAGTTCTTCTAATCTTAATCAATCTCTCTCGCTCTCGCTCTCGCTCTCGCTCTCTCACACACACACACACACACACACACACACACAAGCAGCTGCTCTTTTCACAATTTCGGCTATTTCATGCAGCACTGAGGTGGAGGGAGTGGAAGAATGACTAAACCACTACTCAAAACCTCAGTACCTCAGGGTTACTAGTTTATTCCCTGATAAGCCCTCAGGAGTTTAGAGCAAAACCCCTACTAGACCTTTAGAAGAAACTGTCATGAGCTTTTTGAGACACTCAGGCCCTAGGACTCCATCACTGAACCTTTCCAATGAAAGGAGACCAAGGAGCCCAATATCTCCGTGCCTTGCCTAGGGAATCACAGAAATCACCTGAAGGCATAAACAGACGTGTCTTGGCTCTGTTCTGGGTTCCAAGCTTAGGGTGGGTGTCCGGGAAGTTTTTAGTACAAAAACAAGCAATGTCACTCATGCCTTTCACTCTGAGGGAATGCCTCAATTTAGATACTAAATGAATTCAGGTGACGCTTTTGTGAGTATGGGGGAAAAAATAAGCTACAAAGATTGCCCACCAGTCAAATAACCTGATCATTTCCGACAGTCTGTATTCCTTGATGGACTCTTTCTCTCACTAGATGCTAAGGGTACCTGCTTAAGGTTCAACAGGACTCAAGAAAGGAAAGCAAGTTTATGGGAGTTCAGTGCAAAGAAAGAGGACTTCCAAACTGGCAGAGGAGAGATCAAGAAAAAACACATGGACAAGATTCTGAATCTTGCAGAAGACCTTTCACATCACGTTCAATGCAAGATAAAACCAACTGTGGCCCTTCTTAGAACCACTTTCAACCTGTCTTCAGAGAGTGTAATGAAGTTTTTTTATTTAAGTGCTGTAAACAAGAAACAGAGAAAGTACCTTTTTTATTTAAGTGCTGTAAACAAGAAACAGAGAAAGTACCTTTTTCAACTGATAGCAAGATCCATAGGGAGAGTGAGAGATCCAGGACCCCCTAGAGAATTGATGGAGATCAATGTCAAGCACTGTGGGCCACACCAGGGGGTGGCTGGCTCACCTGCAGCGGGATGATTCCAGAAGCTGGAACTGGGGGTAGGACCCTACGACCCAACCAGGCAGAAAGAACTTGAAACAGCTGGAATACTCCGGTGAAGGTTAGGAGAGAGCCAGGCATGCCTTGGAGCCCAAGGCCTTAGGCCTTAACTGGGCAAACTGGGATGATGACACATATAAAATGGCATCCTCTTCGTCCATGTGACCCAATCAAAGCTCCCCCCCCCGCCCCCGCTTTACAGGGTCTTGCTGCTCATTAAAGGTAATCTGTACCAGGGGTCCTTGTCATACAGTCCTGTGATTCTGAGAGCTCAGAAGGTACCCTGCAATCTCTGCCCACATTACAACACACTTAAGTCTGACTCCAAGCGAGTCTAGAACTTAACCCTAAAACTGCTCTCCGAAGAAGTGCAATGGGTTGAAAAATAACGTGGAACTCTAAATATTAGCTTTCTGACATGGGGCTACCCCTAATCCACACCTCTGATGAGCAAAAGCAAAGGAATTTCAGGGAACACCCAACTTCCTCCCTTTAAAGTGCTATGCTTTTAATATCACACTCCGAGCCAGAAGACGCTTAAGAGCGGGGTGCCCCACCCTAGGCCGGCAGGCCCGCGTCCGGGCGAGGTCGCAGTAGGAGGACGTCCTTTCCCATCCGGCGCCACATTCTGCCCAGATGCCCATGGCATTAGTCTCACCCGCTGCGGGCCGGCTTATTCTGTCCGGGCCCGCTAGCAGCTCCGAGAGCCGGCGTGGGCGCCCCCCGGCCACTTACCGAAGCGCCGCCCGCCTCATCGCGCTCTGCAGCAGCGCACGCGACCAGAGACCCATGACCCCAGCGCACGTCGGCGAAGATAAACAGAAGCGAGGGCGAGGGCGAGCCCGAGCGTCTGCGCGGGATCAGAACTCACTCGGCACGACCACACCCCGGAAGGCGGGACCCCTACCTACCCACGCTGCCTGGAGGCGGGGCCTAACTGCCGGGGGCGGGGCCAAACGGTGCCTGAAGCCCAGTTCATTGGCGGGAAGCTGGAGTCCGTCTCTGTGAAGTAGCAGTGGGGAGCCTGTCCCCGCCATTGTTGATTAAAAAAAATGCACCACGCAGCACGGCCAGGATGTGATGTGAAGGCGAGGAGCGGCCAAGTCCTTAGAGCTTGTCTCCGTTCTCTCTCTTCGCTCAAGGCTGCGCGACCTTGATCCCCCAGGCCTTGGTCCACAGTCCATGGTCCTTGCCCTTGATTGCACGTTGCAACCTTCTGAGCAGCTTGCCAAAATACTAATGCCTGGCTCACACTCCCAGGAGATTCTGATTTAGTCAGCCAGGGTTGCGGCCTGGCCTTTAGACAAAGGCTCCCAGGTGATGCTAACGTAAGCAGAGGTTGAGAACTACTGACCTAAAGGCTAAAATTTGTACCTCTTCTAATCTCGGCCTGCCCCCTAGTGTTGAAAAGTTGGGAGATCTTGGCCGGCTCAGAGAAATTCAAGGCCATAGAGTTAAGTTGATTTTACCCTATACCCTTATTCTCCATTTCATTCAATGAATTCTTATTGAGCTCTTTGCAGTGCGCCAGACGCTTTTGTAAATGCTGGGGATGCAACAAAATAGGTAAAAATCCCTGCTCCTTGGGGACTTATCCTACAGGGAAGGAAAACAAGTCGGCAAGCAAGTTAGCAAATTTTTCAAACGTGGTAAAGCGGTCTTAAGAGAAAATAAAGCAAGGTAATGAGAGGGAATCTTTCCAGAATATATGCAGGTCTTGCTTTGCCCCTGAAGATGGTAATTTCCTAAGAGACGGTCCATATCGTATGCTTTTTCTGGTACCCCATGCTTAGTAAAAAAAAAAAAAAAATCAATTTTAATTAAGCTGGCTTTTTAAAAAATCACTTGGTAAATTACAAATGAAACATGGTCTTTGGCTTTCTCGTTGCTGGCTACCTGTTTCCCTGCTTTTGTCAGTTCCACATCCAGAAGACTCCTCTTGGCCTACAGGGATCTCTCTTTTATTTTTGTTCATGTCGGCTGTACTTTTTCAGTGATGGTTTTGTTTTGCTTTACGTCAGCTATACTTTACAGTCTACCACACCTAACACAGTGCAATAAGTATTTTATTGAATTATACTCTTTGCTTTTGTTTTTACTTGACCTTCTAGTTAAGGCTGTGGGAGGCTCGGGGAGAAAAATTAAGTAAGTTCAAGGGAGTTTTTCAGGTTACATAGATAATATAATAATAGGCAGAGAAAGTTTATACTTTTTGTGCAATCAAGTGACCTTCCAGCCAAACACATTCTTATCAGTGTATAAACAGTATTCATACAGACTGGAGCAGCTGGAACCAGGAATTCAATGCCACGAAAATGCCTTTTCTCCATTGCTTATGTTTGCTTTCCTTTGCACACTGGCTTCATTCTTTTTTCTCTGTATAATGGCTTTCTCCACATGACAAAAGAAACTCGTGAACTTGACATCTTACAACCACAGCCACATGCGTAGAGACTGACTCAAAAATCTGTATCCCAAGTACAAAAAGTCCTCAGAAGAGATTCATTGGCCCAGTTGGGATCAGATATACACCACTGGACTGGTCAACTGCAGTAGCAGGACAAGGTCATATGATCAGCCCATTTGACTTACCAGGAACCCCCTCACCTGGACTCATGGCCAGGTCAGAATCTACTAACATGGCTATTTTCAAAAGTAGCCACTCAGATGCAGATATGGAGCACTTCTAAAAAAAGGAGTACCAAGCAACCAAACTGCAGATGTTACTAAAAGAGGGGAAAAAATGATCTCATCACTTAGCTCACATATCTTAGTTGTACCTCAGGGAACCCCAGCTAAAACCTAGCCAAGCCAGCATTCATCCACATGTCTATGATTATCTTAACTGGCAGCATGCCTAAAATTCTTATAACAGCTTAGCAACTCTGATTTCTGTGTGTTGTTATTGCTGTAAAGCATATACGCAATACCAAATGTTGGATAGCAGGGATAGAAGGCAAAGTGGTTACAAAATCAGACCAGGAAACATGCAACAGTTGTACAGTGGTGAGAATCACTGTTCTTAATTAACAAATTCTCTACCTCATCTTTATTGTTTCCTGTTATGCTCCATTAGTTCTATTTTGAGATAGTCTCAGGGTAATAGAGCTAGCACCAAATGTATCATTAAAATAAATGACACCTAATTATACATTGACAGATATCTATTATCAATGCCATTATTACAAGGAGAAAAATAAAATCAAATAACAAAATCTAATGATATTCATTGTCAGTTCGATCTGGTATTACGAATGAAAAACATCTTTCCTTGGGCTGCTGAACTATATATATTTATATTTTTATATATATGTATATGTATATATTTGGATATCTAATTCAGGTAGAAAATGTTCTTGGAAAACTATGTCATCGACTTTCAAACAAATTAATTCATGCTATAATTTCATTAAGATAAACCACCGTTAAAAAATCAGATTATAGATTATACAAAAAGATATAAAGTTAGGAGGGGAAGGAGGAAACGATGGAAAGATGTTTTTCCCTTAAACCTTAAAGAAAAAACTGGAAAGACTAATTAATGATCCGTGCAAGAGTCCTTGGTATTTTACCCACTTGCTCCAACAGAAGCAAAATCCAGGCTAGGCGATTTCAAAATAGCAGTGATTTTCATCACTTCCCCTACCTTTCGTCAGCTCCACTTTTATAACTGCTCCTAAAATCCAAGTGCTGAAAGGTTTGTCTTCAGCAGTGCTCTTTCCTCTAACAATTTCTTCTTGCTTAAAAATGGCAAATATTTAAAACACGTTATACTATTAGTGACATGGGATCAGAGGGCATCTTTAGGATAAGACATCTTCATTTTAGGGTGTCATATTCAATAAAGATATCTCTTCCAATAAAATGGTAGAATCTCAATGGGTATCTCCCCTACTCATGCCTAACATTCCAATCATTCTTCACCCTGTTGTGCTCATCCTCTCTCCCACTTAATCCACTTTCTCCAACAAATTCAGTTCTCTTCCATTCGCTCCACCCTCTATATTCTATTTCTTTTCATTCCCTTGCCCACTCACTTTCCATCACTTTTTTTCATACCACCCTACTGCTACTATCCCAGGTGGGAAACAGAGCCCTCCCTTCAGAGCCCAGGGCAGCCCATTCATGTGGGCCAGTGCATGAACCAACCCTGCCATTCCTTAGCCCAAGGATAACCAACAAGTACCTCAATACATTTGGTTGTACCAGGATGTATAACCATAGAGGGAACAAAGCTATAAACATACATCACCATATCTGCAAAAGGTCATGCTTCAGGGTGCACGCAAGTTTTTGAAACTTACTTTACAGTGAGAATTTGTATATTTTATAGACATTAAAATTATGCTGATCGTTTGAATTCACATAACATGTTGTCAGGTATAAATTTGTATTTTGTGCTATTTGGAGATGGGGCCACACAAAAACAGAGTCATGCCATTAGTATTAGCTTAATTTATTTTCAGAAACACAGATGTTATTCTAGCTGCTTTATCTCTATGTATGATATTTATGGGACTGTTAGACTGCCTCGTTTGGTTTATATAGGTAACTCATTAGCACATTCCTCGGGACACCACATATGGCTTCTGTTTGGCCTCATCTGTGGAGATGCAGAAACCAAGCCTGGAAGGAGAAAAGATCCTTATTTTACTCCTAAAAACTCTCTTCAAAGTAGCCATTTCCTCGATTTCAGGTCCTATTACCCACAATTCCTCACTCCCCATTTATTGCTCAGCCCCTCCATCTCCCTTACCCTGGCCCTGGCAGTTTCTGTAAAACTTCTCTGAGATAGATGAGATAATAGAGATAGAGATGGGGAAAGAGAGAAGAGAGGAGAAGAGAGGAGAGGAGGAAAGGAGAAGAGAGGAAAGGAGAGGAGAGAAGAGAAGAGACACACACACACACACACACACACACGAGTTTCACACACATCCCTCCCTGCCCCATTGTGTAGCAGCAGCCTTACATCCTCTGGCTGACTGAGGGTGATCACCCTTGCCAAAATGGTGACTCCTTGGCCACAGGAGTCCAAAGCCTTCACTATGTCCATTGGCAAGAGTGTGACCCTCTGTGGAACAGAACCTCAAACTCTGAAGAGCTCAAAGTTGCAGATTCAGGAAGCGTAAGCATAAAGTCCCCCAGTGGGTCACGTCAAATGAACTCAAAAGAGTTTGGAGGATTTGGCTAGAAATAAATGATAAAGCTTTATTCAGACCTTAGGGTTTGCAGACTGGAAACACAACTAGGCAAAAACCCAGAAGTGTTCCCAAGAAGAAAGGAAAATTAGGAGTTCTTATAGTGAAAAGTGCATTCTTGAGAAACAGTTTTACATTCTAATCCCTAGGACTGGTCCAAGATGGTTATCAGTCAGACGGTCTGGATGATGGATGCCAGGAGGTCTGGTCATGTCCAGTGCTCTGGATAATGGATATCAGGTAGATGTCAGGTGGTCCAGGTGCATGAGCCCTTCAGGGGATAAACAGAGGGTTATCTGGAGGTTTAATGTATATCCAGGCATTGATGCAGGACTAAATAATTCAAACGTTTAAGTTTCCAGGCTAGTTAAAACAAGAATTAAATAATTTCTTCATGACTCAACCTACTTGATTCTAGTAATTTAGCAGCTTGGCTATAGTGACTCCATTTCATTTTTTCACTCTATTCCTCAGTCATTAGTATTGGAAGAGTCTTGGTGAGGAGATAGGATAATGGCCTAGAAAGCCACAGAGAGGAAATGACATTTAAAAGAGTTCTTCCTTCTGAGAAAAAAAGAGACTAAATTATCCAAATTGAATTTTCCAGATTTATAACTAAACTTCCTCCCTTTATTTAAAAAGAGACTAAGAAAGCTTTCAAAAAGCATAAAGGGGAATATGTTTATTTGCCCTT